ATATAATCGTGATGGTTTCTACGTCTTAAGGTTGAATTTGGTTTGAGAGAGCAGGAAAAAATGAAAGGGCAGAAATAGGAAAGAAGATGGGGGCATGTTTAGTGTCGGAGAAGGTTTTGTGGAGATTGTAAGAGGTAAGGCGGCGACTGGGAGGAGTTGTCTTGGTAAAGTGCAACAACGTAAGTAGATGGGAAGTGTTATGTTACGCTAGAAGATGGAAGCAGAGAGGGAGAGATTGTTTGGAAGTGGGAGGTTGCCTACGACTGGGTTACCACACTAGAATTGAGAGAGGACAAAGGCATGAGGAACGAAGAAGGAGATTGAGATTTTCTAGAGAAAAAAATTAGAGCTTCATGAGATGGTCCTAGGAGGACGACTGAGGGGAAAATGAGGGCAGAGGAGTCGACAGGCATTCACGTTGTTGTTGGGGAAAATAAGGCATCAATGTCGGCATTAAAGAAGGACTCGAGGTTGAGGTTGAGGTTGGGGTCGGGAATGAGATCGGTGTTGGGGTTGAGATTGCGATGGTTGGAGTGTTCTGCAAATACAAAAAACAGACGTTTCCAATTTTGTTTTTTTTTAAACAAAAAACACTTTTGTTTAAGAACAAATAAAAATCAGATTCAATTACAACAAAAAAACATATTTTTGTTTTATTTTCTATTAAAAAAATATGGAAACAAAAAGTGATCCGAACAACCCTTTAGCTTCTAAATTGTTAGCTCAATCATATTCATTTTCTTATTACGAGAGAAATTGAAGTACATATTATTTTATTAATTCACTCAAGGAATAAGATCACTTCTCAATGGAGTGAAGATTTAGTATTTTTACATACTAATTTTTATTTTTTATTTAGACTAGCCTATAATACATTCTGAGACTAATTTATGATATAGTGGTGGAAATAAAATAATTTTAATGGATGATATTAAATCTTTCAAGTTATTGTTCTATCTCTTAATGTATCTTTAGAAATTATGTTTTTTCTAGATGAAGGTGAATGTGTCATTGAAGAGGGCATATAAACTAGTGTTGCTTATGTTGGCTAATATGTGTCATTTAAATGCATGTCACTCAAGTTTTTAGACGATAAAATACCGTTCCTAGGCAACTAATTTAGTTTGAACTGCTTGAATTGATTATGTATATATTTTTCTTAAAGACAAATAGCTTGGATAAGTACTGAATTAAGTGGTATATGCGTTAATCTTCTTAAAAGAAATATAATTCTTTTTCTTAATTTTTATTTATTTATTTATTTCTTGGAAGAGAATTCTGTAGTGAAATTATGAGCATTAATTTGCAGTATTCACCCTCAATGCTTGTCCTCAAATTAGGTATTGTATATCATTCTTTTCTAATTTAAATCAACTTTTAATGCAGATTTTCTGTTTTCTTATTATTCATGAATGTATTTATATCAGTTGTTTATATAATTTATTAGCATTTTGATTAATAAAAGCGCCTTCGCCTTGCGCATTGCATGGCATTTTATGCTTTGATAGCATTGCTTTAGAGTAAATCTGACGAGAGCGAAATAAGGATGGCTCATGAATGCATCTTTGATTTGTAGAATGGCTCGACAAAAATATTGATACCATTTTGACTTGGGAATTCTCATCAGACTTTCTTCAAAGCTTGTTATGAAGAAATAATATAGAATTGAATATGTGCATCACATGTTGACAAATATAATGGGTACAGTAAACATTCTCTAACACTTCCTTATGCGCAACTGTTAGATGTTCCATTTTTGAATTAATAAAAATGTTTTTTAAAGCTAAATAAAACTTGCATGTTAAAGAGCAAAAGAGATGAAATGTTCTGTGCTCGTTGCAAATAATTTTACTTGGCTAATTGTCATCAAGCTGCCTCGTGCATTGGGCAAGGTTTTAAAACTTGCATGTTAGACAACAAAAGAGGTGAATTTATCTAAGCTCCTTGGAAATAATTTTTCTAGGCTATTTGTCATCAAGATGCCTTGTGCATTGGGCAAGGTTATATTGCCCACTACCACCTTTGCGCATGATAAACGCTTGGATTGTAAGTCACCTTTATAAACACTCAAATTGAGCAATAAGTTCCAGATTTAATTTAAAGTTAAATTCTAAAAGTAAAACACAAATCAAGAACCTAAATGACTTTTAATTGTACTTCCAATGAATGCAAGCCCCTATCCTAATTAATTCGGTTGAGGCAAAGTCAAGAAACTCATTAAGTAAAAAACTTCAGCATTCCCATGAATGTAAGATCTATCCCATAATTAACTTGGGTGAG